AGCTCTTTGAAAACACAAAGCCCCTCCTCTACCAAACCTCCATGGCAGCATGCAGACAAAACCGAGAGAATTGTAACTGGATTGGGCGTTAAACCACGAGCTTCCATTTCGGAAAGCAAAGCCAGTGCTTTACGGGGAAATCCATTCAGGCCGTATGCGGCAATTATCGCACTCCATGACACGACATTTTTTGTTGTGATCTGATCGAATGCCCTTCTAGAAGCTTCTATGGCTCCGCATTTTGCGTACATATGGAGTATTGCAGTACCAACAACAGCATCACCCATCAGCCCCATCCGGATTGCAATGGCATGGGCCCACTTGGATCTTTTGATTTCAGCAGATAGCGCACAGGCCTCGATAAGGTTTAAAATTGTTACTGGATTTGGATTCTGGCGCGAAAGCCGCATGTCCCGATAAAGAAGGATCGCTTCATCAGGCAAGCCGCAGTTGGTTAAACCTGATATCATCGTACTCCATGTCACGATATCCGGTCTTTTGATTTGGCAGAATAGTCTAAAAGAAAGATTGATCTGTGTACATTTGGTGTATGCATCAATTAATGAATTCACGACCAAATCGTTTGACTGGGAATATCCCCGGATTACTCTACAGTGAATCGACTTGCATTGATGCAGATTTCTCGAGACCTTGCAAGTTGCAAGTAGGTTCACTAAAGTGACGTCATCAGCAGTAACTCCCGACTGACTCATTAAGGAAAACAATGCCAATGCTTCTTCATGCTTCCCATTATGAACAAATCCAGATAGCAGAGAATTCCAAGATACTATGTTCCTGTAAGGAATTCCCCTGAATGCCATAACAGCAGAGTCAATGTCCCCACACTTGCAATAGAGATCAACCAGAGTGTTTGAAACAAACAAATCATAATCCAAACCTCTGACAACCGAAAATCCATGAATCAATTTTCCCACCCGGATGTCACCTAGGGTAGCACAGCCCTTGAGTACACTAACCATGGTTTGTCCATCCACTTCAATCCCAACATCTGAGACCATCTGTTTAAAAGACAATTGAGCAGTAATAGCATCATCCCAATGGACATAACCTCCAATCATCACACTCCACGAAATCGCATCTTTCTCGTAAATTTCATGAAAAAGGCTTTCTGCATAGTCCATCCCGAAGTCTGTGTACATGCCCAAGAGAGCATTTTGGACTGAAATTGAACTTAAGAGCCCACTTTGAATCAAGTATGCATGAAACCTCTGGCCATCATGGAAAGCTCTAAGACGGTGATGTGCCTGAATTATGAGCACTAGAGTGGAGACATTTGGCTCAAATCCAAATACCCGTGCTTGTATAAACAAATTTAATCCTTCCTCAAAAGCACCTTGATCAAGATGCCCGTGGAGAACTGTATTCCACGAAACGGAATCCTTTGTCTTCATGCTATTCAGGACATCCACTGCAGATCCCAATGCTCCTGATTTCGCATAAAAGTCCATTACTGAATTTCCCACAGAAGTAAATAAATCAAATCCCTGCTTAATCAAGGATGCATGGACAGACCTTCCCTGTCCAAATGACAGAGCTGAACAAGCCTTCAGAATGTGAGAGAAAATTGTATGATCCGTCGGCTGAACTTCCATATTTTTTATCTCGTTGTAATGGGAGAGCACCTCTTTCCATCTGCCACTTGATGATAGCTTTTTTATTTCATGGCATAAATTGGCACATGATGGGACGACTGGGAAACGCATACCATCAGATAGTTCGGTGTTTCCTTAATAGGTGAAAAAACAGAGAGCCCTCTTAGACGCAAACTTCTTTCGGACACTTTGGCAGCCATGTAAGTTCTACTCGTGTCATCTGCTTAAGTAGCTGTGCATGAGAATATTATATGGTGAATGAAATCAACCAATATCTAAGGGGAGAGTGTATAAGCTACGGACCTTCATGGGGAAATGCAGATTAAATAGCAGTGGAAAGTCTTAATCTAAGGTGGGAAGAAAAACTCAGCATTTACCAGGTGACTCCTCATGACTAAGCTCAAGAATATATCTTATGACTAAGCTCAAGAATATATCTTTTAGTTTTCATCATAAATAAAAAATATGAGCTTAAGAGACATAAATCTTTCATACGTCTACAACAGAAAAATGACAAATTTTTGATTGATTTTCTTTTCGAGTTTCAATATTGCTTCAGCAATTTTTATATCCCATTGGCTTAGTATGAAGGAATCTCATCTAATTTCTCTCTTTTCCTTTTCTGATACATAATTGTCCTACATTTTTTTCAGCATAAAAATTGTACGATGCTCGTGGATAACTTCTATTTCTCTACAAAATCGTAGGATTCATCTTTTTTTCTTTACACTCGTTAATACGTATGTCGTCAAACTGACTTCGTAGTTCGTACCCAGTTTTAAACATATACCATCAATTTAACGTTTTATTGGTACGCAAACAACTTAATCCATCGAACAAGCGACTTACTGACCCACCGAAATCGTTTGATTAATATCCAGTCCAGGTTTAAAAATTGATCCCAAATTACATTTCTCTATAACCAAACTAAATTTGTTCCATTTCCATATGCCTATAATAAAAAAAAGAGAGCTGTCACCTAATATTTCCCCTTCATAAGGCTCATACTTCAAACAGTTTAACTCATCATCTACCAATCAATTATAAATAGAAACAAAAAACCAAAGGAAAGTGTGCGTAAATATGAAGTAACACAGCATCAGTAGCTTCTGTTCCTCAAATTTGAGAGTCTGGGAATATATTCAAACACATGGTGGGCAAAAAGAAAGAAACACTGTGCACGTAAAAATATGGCAATTGGTGACCAATAGCAACAGGAGTCCCGCAATTGAACTGTGATTATAGAATAAGAACACAATAGCTTACTGGAAAATAGAATTGTCGAGTGATGAAGAATTAGATAACCTTAGGCCGTGCTACAGCTGAGAACCATTGGGCACAGTCGAATTTCCAGCTTCAGCAGCAGCAGCGCTTAAACGATGGGCACAGTCCTCCCAACATTTTTGGGCCTTGGGGTAAATATATAAAAGAGAAATTTACCCTTTACACTTGGTTAGGTAAATAATATTAAAATTTATCAACTTTGCTAAGAAATCATATGGTTGGTTCCCTTACCCATGTGGCACTGTCTCATTGGTGGTTCTCATCTGGTTTCATAGAAGAATAGTAAAATTTATATCTATGTCTATATTTCTATCTATATTTATATCTATATAAAAAAAGTTTGATATTTACCTGAAATAGTAGTGGAAATCTCGCCAAAATATTTCGTTGTTACCTTTTGTAGACAATCAAATTTTAAGCCAATCAAATAGTGACAAGTGTCAAATTCCATGTCAAAACCAATTTAATAATTTTCTATTTTATTTAGAAAATTAATCAAATTTTAATTCCTAAATAAAATAGTTAATTAATTGATTATTTAATATATATTGTTGGCCAATTAAAGAATGCCACATATATATTTTTTGAAGGTCAATTAAAGAATGTCACATGTCATTTTCTTGGAGAGTAAAATAAATATTTATTTCTTTTAATAATTATTAAAAAGATAAATAAATGGAAATTCATGGACCAATCAGATTAAAGTCTTTTTTTTTTCAAGACTCTCTCTCTTAATTATCTCTTTAAATAATTATTAAGAGATAAATATTGGAAATAATGGACCAATCAAATTGAAGTCTTCTTTCCAACTCTTTCTCCCAACACCTATAAATATGGGCTCTCCCTAAGGTGGAAGAAACACAATTCATATTCAAGATTCAAGTTCCAAGAGCTCTACAGAATTCTCTCAACGAAATTCAAGTGTTCTTGAAAATCCAAAGGCGTTCTTGAAGATCCGAAGGAAGATTCAAGCACGTTCAAGTCTAAGACCGACGTTCAATCCGGAAACAAGCTGCCAAGCATCCGAATTGCGTTATTCAAGTTCAAGTGTTTTGAAGATCCAAAGGCGTTCTTGAAGATCCGAAGGAAGATTCAAGTGCGTTCAAGCTCAAAACCAACGTTCAATCCGGAATCAAGCTGTCAAGCCTCCGAATTACGTTATTAAAGTCAAGACCGACGTAAAGAAGATTAAAATCAACTTTGCGGCGAAGACCAAGGACTCGTGTTCTTCACGTTCTTGGGAAATCACGGCGTTCGATTCGAGATCAAGCTGTCAATCCCTTGAAGAAACGTTATTTAAATCCATATTCAAGACCGGCGGAGATCAAACTAAAGATTCGTCTCCAAAAGTCTCAAATCCATTTGAAGATTGTTCTTGAAGAAATTAATCAAAGGAATAATAGAGATTTGTAATCCACTATATTTCTTTTGATCCGTTAAAATCCATTTGTACGAATTTCTCGTGTTTATTAGTTCAATAATACGAAATTTTGCGTTACAAATTTCTGGCACGCCAGTGGGACTATCTCTACCTCTCATCTCTTTTCTTCAAGATATCCAAGTGCAACGATGACTCCTCCCAAGTCAACTTCTTCAAGTTCTGCAAGCGAAAGTGTTGGGGTTGTAACAAGAAGCATGGCAAGAAACAAGAGTGCATCTCTGGAAGTTGGCTCTCACCAAGTTGAGGAAAATCGGCCGCCTTTGATGAACCAAGAGGAAGATTTGAGAGATGATGCTTCATCAACACCTTTCTCAATGGAGGCACATGTTATGATGACGAATACATCAACCATTGAAGAGCAACTAGCAACCATAGCAAAAACAATGGAGTCGCTGATGAAACATGTCCAAAATCAAGACTCCACAATTCTAAAGCTGCTAGAAAGGGTCTACAAAGCTGAGACTAGCCGAGCTAGGGGCAAGCAAGGTGAAACACATGAGAAAGAAGGAACTTCTAAAGAAGATGAGGAGAAACAAACTGAAAAAGAGAAGTCTTCATCAGAGATCCATGTTTCTGCAAGTGGACTCATACCAGCTGACCAACTCAAAGAGTTCATCATGGGAACCATCAAGGACAAATTTGACGGAGGCTCCAAGTCATCTTTTACTTATTTGAAGCCATACACCCCAAGGATTGATAGCTTGAAGATGCCTACTGGATATCAACCGCCTAAATTCCAACAGTTCGATGGTAAAGGCAGCCCGAAACAACACATAGCTCACTTCATTGAAACTTGCAACGATGATAGAACATATGGAGATCGTCTGGTGAAGCAGTTTGTTCGATCATTAAAGGGAAATGCGTTCGAGTGGTACACCGATTGGAGGCGAATTCTATTGATAGTTGGGAGCAACTAGAGCAAGAGTTTCTCAATCGTTTCTACAGCACACGAAGGACGGTCAGCATGATTGAGCTCACTCATACAAAGCATTGGGATGAAGAGCCTGTCATTGACGACATCAACCGATGGAGAAATTTAAGCCTCAATTGCAATGATCGACTGTCTGAAGCTTCGGCTATCGAAATGTGTACTCAAGGGATGCACTGGGGTCTCCGATACATTCTTCAAGGGATTCAACCGAAGTCATTTGAAGAATTAGCCACTCGAGCACATGATATGGAGTTAAGCATGTCTGCAAGCGGGGTAAAAAATCCACATGTCCATGAGCCTCAAGATTCAAGGATCGAAATGAAGCCAAGAAAGGGGGCAAGTCTTCCTCTAGACCACCTAACAAAGAAGTAAAGGAAGCAATGGCGGTCAATGCAAGACCTATCAAACTCAAGGGAAACACAAGCGAGAAAGCTGTGGAAAAGAAAGAAGTCCCTCAAGACAGGGGGCAAAGAAAGTTAACCTTGAAGGAGATGCAAGCCAAACAATATCCTTTTCTTGACTCTGATGTTTCTGGAATTTTTGACGATTTGATTCGGGAACAACTTATTGAACTGTCGGAGATGAAACGACCTGAAGAAGCAGGACAAGTTGACAACCAAAAATACTGCAAGTATCATCATCTAGTGAGTCACTCCATCGAAGATTGCTTTGTCTTCAAAGATAGAGTTATGCAGCTGGCACGACAAGGCAAGATATCGCTTGAAGAAGACAAAGGGACTGCGAACTTTGCTTCAATTGTGACATGCGATGAAGAATACGAAAGTTTCACTTGTAATGTGACGAGCGAGCAAGAGGATGTCCCAAATGATGAAGAGTCGACTGATGACAAAGAACGATGCGATCCTGAAGACAATGATGCAGCAGTCACTTTTACAGATGAAGACTTGATGTTGGGCTCAAAACCCCATAATAGGCCTTTATTCGTAACTGGTTACACTCGCGAGAAAAAGGTGAATCGCATATTGATAGATGGAGGTTCTGCTGTGAACATTTTGTCTCTGCGTACTCTAAAAGTGCTGGAGGTCCCGACAGATGAACTCTCAAATAGTCGGTTGTTGATTCAAGGCTTTAACCAAGGGGGGCAACGAGCTCTCGGCATAATTAGATTGAAGTTAGTAATAGGGGAGATGACTTCAAATGCTCTTTTCCATGTGATAGATGCCAAAACCTCTTATAACATGTTATTAGGGCGTCCTTGATTGCATGAGTATGGAGTGGTGCCTTCTACATGGCATCAATGTTTTAAATACTGCCAAGATGGTGTAGTTAGAAAGGTTCTTGGAGACGATAAGCCTTTTACTGAAGTCGAGTCTTATTTTGCTG